CAAGGAAATGTTCACAGTATGTCTGATAATATTTTTTCTTCTGAAGAAAGTCTTATTTCTTTTTTTTCGGCTAGAATAAAAGCAGTTAATAATTTTTTAAACATCATTTTAGGGACAAAATTATTAGCCCCTTTAAGCTATATATTTTTTTCGATAATCTACAGAACAAACCATCGTTATACAATAACTTGCCTAATTACCCTAACCTGCCTAGTTTACCTAATTAACCTAGTTAAGCCTTTAAATGTCACTTTAAGCTGTATAGAAGTGTCTTTAAAAATATCTAGTAAAATATTATTTACTGTCATCATGACAAAGATGAAATAAATCAGTTATTAGAAATGAGTTATTAAAACTATTATGTTTATAAATGTGATGAAAAAACTTTCTCTCCGTTAAACAGAAATTGAGGAAAAAATAAACAAGGTCTAATAATTCAGAGGGGCTAATAATTCTGACTTCAACTGTATATAAGTAAAAATATTGTTTAATAAAAAGACACTAAACATTTTATTTCATAAACAATTGTTTAAACAATTTATAAATTACACTGAAATTATAGTTTTGACTCGGTTGAAAATGAAACGTATTTTAATATTAGTCAAAATATTTAATCTACTCAAAAATGAAAAAAATACATGATTAAAGATAAAATGTTGTTTTATAGACCATGAATATGTTGAATTACTTTGGTTGGGCTTAAAATCAAAACCCTAGTTAAGATGTACGTTGGACTAAACCATGATAAATACACACAGTTTCATGTAAACGTTTGGGCACCCTTTAGTGGCTGCATACTAATGTGCTCTTTCTCAATAAGAGAAGATCGCAGTGATATGTCCTTCAGGTTTTAGAGAAAGCTAGATAATATCATGTTTTTCAGAAGGAAATATGCAGTGTAGCAGTATCGAGATGTGTGAAATTAAATTTAAACTGAAAAGTAGGCTGTGCAAAAGTTTGGGCGCCTTCTCTTCCGTGTGGATTTCAAAAAATGTAGTCAGTTATTGCTGATGGATTACAACTCAGAAGTAATTTGAGTGACTCCTTAACAATCCTAACACAGGTGCAACCAATCGTAAAAAGGCATATTTAAGATAGCTGATTGCTAGTTGGGTTTTTCCTTATTGTGAACCAGAAAGTAGCAACATGGGAACCTCAAAAGAACTTCCTAATGACCTAAAACACAGGATAATTCACCAATATGAATTATGAGAAGGATACAAAAAGCTTTCACAAAGGTTTAAAGTCTCTCCGGAGTCAGAAATATAGTAAGACAATGGAAGGCAACAGGAACAGTTCTTTGTATAGCAATTATAATAGTTTATTTTACAGACTTATAATATGCATGGTCATATGCATATGGTCAATATAATATATTATTCTATTGGAGTTTTCATTCAAAAATGGGTGCCGCACCATTTAGTGGCTGTTTCCTAAATTGCACTAGAGTGTCGCCTCTTGGTGATTCTATGCTCTTTGGTATGACTGTAAATGTAATGCAAGATGGTAATGACAAAAGTCACATTAGCACTTTTAAAAGCTGCAAAACATCAGATGATTTACTATGGTTTGAAATGGAAAATTTATTAGGGTGTCCAGACCTTTAACATAACTGTAAGCTGCATCCAAATTTGCATACTATCAATTAAGTGGAATTTTGAAAAGTAATTCTGTGTCCCAAATCCTAATACAGGGGTCACCAACATGGTAGCCCGCGAGGATCACATGTGTTGCCCACAGGCCTGTTCTAAAAATAGCTCACCATAGCGGCACTTACCAGTGTAGTAAGCTTCATCTAATATAGAAGTAATCATTTAAAAATGTAAATATTTGCAGAGATATATAAAAATAAAGTGTTGCACATTGATACATTAAATACAGGGTATTTTCTACCCTGTTAAATCATTGTTGATAACTTTTGTAAGAATCATTAACAGTGTCTTCAAATCAATGAATATCATTAAATATTACCAAAAACATAAAGTATAATTAAAAGTAAATTGAGCAAATTTGTTATTTGAGAAGTGTTTATCAAACTGGTAGCCCTCCACATTAATCGGTACCCAAGAAGTAGCTCTCAGTTTCATGAAGGTTGGTGACCCCTGTCCTAATATTTCAAAGTTACTCCGTTGGTCTTCTGTTTACATCTTCTAATTTAAAAAAAATAATTGCAGATTTGGCCACTATCCTTGCACTTTGGATGTGAATTTAAATAGAACTACAAACACGGTTAAAACTTCAAACAACAAACTATAAACATAAAACTACAAACATGATGGCGAGGTGGTTAAAGTACACAGGAAATCAAAGTGAACAATGTTTTTATTTTGCTGGCACACATGGTTAGCGTTAAACTAAATAATGAATGTTTGCAAGTAAATAAAAAAAAATAATAATAATAAATAAATGATTTTTTTGGTAATCTTTAATCAAATCTACCCTTCTGCTTCCATATTGGATTGGCATTCCTTCTCTGATGATCTCAGTTTAATGGATTGGGCGAAATATGAAATATGGCCACAGCCATGTCACCCTGCAGCCCAAGACCGGTTACTCACTGAAGCTAAGCAGGGCTGAGCCTGGTCAGTACCTGGATGGGAGACCACTAGGGAACACTAGGTTGCTGTTGGAAGTGGTGTTAGTGAGGCCAGCAGGGGGCGCTCAACCTGTGGTCTGTGTGAGTCCTAATGCCCCAGTAAAAGTGAAGGGGACACTAAACTGTCAGTGGGCGCCGTCTTTCGGATGAGACGTTAAACCGAGGTCCTGACTCTCTGTGGTCATTAAAAATCCCAAGGCACTTCTCGTGAAAGAGCAGGGGTGTAACCCCGGTGTCCTGGCCAAAGTCCCTCTATCGGCCCTTACGATCATGGCCTCCCAATCATCCCCTTCCACCGAATTGGCTCTATCACTGTCCCTCCACTCCACCAATAGCTGGTGTGTGGTGAGCGCACTGGCGCCGTTGTCCTGTGGCAGCCGTCGCATCATCCAAGTGGATGCTGTACACTGGTGGTGGTGTGGAGAGACCCCCCCCTCATGATTGTGAAGCGCTTTGGGTGTATGGCCATACACAATAAATGCGCTATATAAATACACATTACATTACATTACATGACTAGCCATGCTCCTTCAACCGTTAGTTTGAGTCTATATTCCTATATGTTTGTAATTATTCTGCAAGATACACGTATTAGTCAGCGGTCACACTGGGCTTTTCTTCCATTCATATGCATGTGAATGCGTCAGACCAGGGGCCTCATGTACGAAGATTTTGTGTAACATTGCGTACGCACAAAGCTGTAAATGTGTGTACGCAGAAAAAATTCAGATGTATGAAACACTGCGTACGCCAAATCTCACGCATATTCTTTTGTACATCCGAATGAACGTGAAACTGAGCGCAACATGCACGAGCGCAAAACCCCTCCCTGCCTCCTCCCCCGTATGAATATGCTAATGACTCTACTTTGGCAAAACCCAACGAAAAAAGCAATGACAAAATCAAGCAAAAAGAGAAATGAATGTGAGAACAGAATGTGAATTGGAGGTGCTCCTTTCAGAGGTAGACCGAAGAAAAGCGGTGTTATTTGCAAGTTTGTTCTCCGGAATTAACAACAAAAGAAAAAAATAGAGTGGGAGAGTTTAGCTGATGCGGTTAACACAGTTGGGTCTGAACATCGCACTGAGTGCATTAAAAAAAGAAATAGTGTGATTCATAAGTATAAAATGTTGCAGCACCCTTAACAGTCTCAGTGGCGCAGCTCGTAAGACGCATGTTAACATGTTTAGACACGTTCGAGCATGAACTCGGTTCGGAACCAGCGTCTGATGAACTCTTTCTTCTTTTTTCCCCTGCTACATATCAGATTTGCCAACTATTTATCACGAGAACGACAAGTAGGAATCATCAATAAGTTTGTGCATCATATTTTATTTGCACATTTATTGAATGGAAATGTATCTGATTAATGCATGCAAATTCATCGTCAGATAGTGTCTTTATAGCAATGTGCGTGCAGTAGATTACATTGGGAAAACAGGCGACCGCTGCAAATTGTGCTTTAATGTTTGGCTGGTCAACTGTATGGTATGGAAACCTTATATACCTGCTACATAAACCCGTCTCATACAGCTGCCATTGCACGGCTCAAAGACACTTTGTAGAGTGCAATTTAACACAACTGCCTCTAGGAGTCGCCAATGGAAATAAAACAGACACGCACAAAAAATGTGCGTACGCCAGCCATGAAGCTGGCGTGGAGCTGCGCACATTCCCACGTTCATTTCATCGTTAGTAAATCAAAACGTGAGTGATTATGTGCGTGAAACCTGGCGGACGCAAAGTTTTTGTGCATATGCAGCGTTGATGCATGAGGCCCCAGAAACGCAAGGTCATGAGTTCGCAGGTTGCTGCGGTGCAAAGTTCAAGCTTGGTGAACTCTGACCTGCGAAATCGCATCACTTGCGTTGAGACCACTCGTGAGACCAATCGAGAATCAAAACATGACATCTCTGGACAGAAATTAATCGCTCACTTTTTTAAAAGTCTAATCATCTTGTTTAATCCCGCCCCTTTTTGCAGAGTCGTACGACAGAATTTCACAAACTCAAACTCTGGTGTGACCACAGCTTCAAGCTTAAGGAGCAATGTAAAGGCTTAACTGGGTTAATTAGGTTAACTAGGCAAGTTAGGCTAATTTGGCAAGTTATTGGACAATGGTAGTTTGTTCTGTGACCAATCAAAACAGGTATTTCTTTAGTGGGCTAATAATTTTGACCTTAATTATTATTTTTTTTCCATCCAAACTATAAGAAACAAGATCTTTTCCCAGAAGTAAAAATACTGTTTTTTTTGTTTTGTTTTTTTACGTTAAACATCACCTTCTTTAACTGTGCAATCCATAAAATGAAAACATTTTGTAATTGAATATGAATTAAACAGGAAACACCTTCTGTGCCTGTTTGATATAAACTGACACCTGCTCTTTTTCATTTTCAAACAGCCTCCATTTGATGGAGAGGACGAGGACGAGCTCTTTCAGTCCATCATGGAGCACAATGTGTCCTACCCCAAATCCCTGACTAAAGAAGCTGTGTCCATCTGTAAAGGGGTGAGTCCTCAAACATCAGCCTCTACATTTCTCTGTGTTGTTACTCACAGAATGAGAAAGAATAATGCAGAAGCTAAAGTCTTCAGCTCAGATTAATAACCCGTGACTTTTTTTTATTAACAAAGCTTCAGGCTAAATTAACAATATAATGACAAATATCAATTCAACTACCCCTACTTCTTCCCCTGCATCCTTTTTAAACTGGGGTACACAATGAATAGAAGTTAACAGAAAAACAAAAGTGCGGTATCAACAATGGGAGATCAATAGAACACCATTATACACAATAACGCAATCATTCTTGGTTCTGATCATAGCTTTGCGCAGTGAACATGGAGATTTTGTAAGCAGCTGTAGTCCAGGTCTTTAATGCACACATTTGAACCAAGTTCACTCGAGCCATAGACAATTCCAACATTAAAATGTCCTGAAGTTATACCAACAACTTGTATGTGTCAAGTTATGAGGAGGAAGCCAATGTTGTGCTGATAACTTTTAGCCAAATGGCTTGGTAAGATTTAGAATCATCACACAGAAATAATAAGGAAGGATTCACTAGTACAGAATATTCAATAAATATTAGATATTATAACACACACCTCATTCTAAAATGTTTTTTTTTTCCGAATTCCCACATCAAATGAAAAAAAGATCCAGGTTCCTGGTCAGGACATTATCACAGAGAGCCTAACAGAGGCATTGAATTGATATTTAATAACCCATGACTTTAGTATTTCCAATAAATCACCTGTGATATCTGCATGAAAGATAATTTAATTTTTAATTTGTATTTTTCAATCATTCTGTCTGAATATGTTCACCTATGAGACAAAAAAAGAATTGTAGTGTTAATATAATTCTAGACAACCCACCTGTAGGAAACACTTCTTGCTCTCCATATACACCAGACACTTTCTTACAAACACTTCATTACAAGCACTTGGGATTTTTTAAAATAGAATAAAATAAAGCGCTTTGGGTCAGATTTTTAAATACATTAAAAAAAAAAAATTATTATTAATATTATTATTATTATTATTATTATTATTATTATTATTATTAGATGTGTGATTGTAAATAATATTCTACACTGTAAAAAAATGTTGCCCACTTCAATTTTTAAGTTGAATTAATTTAACTTTGCAAGTAATTTTAACTTGCATCAATTCCGCTGACTTAAAACATCAAGTTAAAGTTTGTTTTACTTAAAAAAAAAATATTGAAACCTCATCCGGCCACTTTATTAGGTACCAGGTTGGACCCCATTTTGCCTTTAGAACTGTCTTAATCCTTCATGGCACAGATTTAAAAAGGTACTGGAAATATTCCTCTGAGATTTTGGTCCATATTGATAAGATAGCATCACGCAGTTGCTGCAGATTTGTCTGAGATGATTCGCGCTTTGTGACATGGTGCGTTCTCCTGCTTGACGTAGCCATCTGAAGATGGGTACACTGTGTTCGTAATGGGATGGACATGGTCAGCAACAATACACAGGTAGGCTGTGGCATTGAAATGATGCTCAATTGGTACTAATGGGCCCAAAGTGTACCAAAAAAATATCCTCCACACCATTACACCACAACCAAAGTTACTAAAATCACATTTCTTCCTCATTTTGATGCTCGGCTTGAACTCCAGCAGATCCACTTGAACATGTCTACATGTCTAAATGCAGTAAGTTGCTGCCATGTGATAGGCTTATTAGAAATTGGCATTAATGAGCAGTTGGACAGGTGTACCTAATAAAGTGGACGGTTAGTGAATGTTGTCATGACTTTTTTATTATGTTTTTTTTTTTTTAAGTTGCTTCGGAGCAAAAATTATTATGAAAAGCTCTATACTAAATTTGAATTGAACTGTATTGAATGGAAATTAATTCTCACGAAAACGCAGTCAATTTTATAATTTTCATTTGAATTAGTCACGAAAATTTTATCAGATTTATCAGAGGTTGCCACAGCAGAATGAACCGCCAACTATTCCAGCATATGTTTTACACAGCGGATGCCCTTCCAGCCACAACCCAGTATTGACAAACACCAATACACACCTATTCGCACACACACGCTTATACACTACAGACAATTTAGCTTAATCACTTCACCTACTAATATTATATCAGTTCAATAATTTCAAACATCTTTCAATTGTATGTATTTATGTATGTATTTTATAGATTATTAATTAAAAATAGCCTTAATAAGGCTATGACGTTATGTCATTTGACAGATTTCAATTAATATTTATAGGTCTGCGATGTCACCTGAGCCCAGTGGAACTTGATTCTGTTTTCTACGTTGATTCTTACAATGCGTATCTTATACTTTTAATCAAACCTAGTTAGTTTTCTGACAGATTCTTCTTCCTTCCTGTCATGTCTTTATTGGTGATCTCTGCAGCTGATGACCAAGCATCCATCTAAACGTCTGGGTTGTGGAGCGGAGGGCGAGAGAGATATAAAGGAGCAAGCTTTCTTCCGCAGGATTGACTGGGACCGACTGGCCAACAGAGAGATTCAACCTCCTTTCAAACCCAAAGTGGTGAGTGTGAATGTGATGTTTGTGTACGTCTGTGACCTTTGTCAGCGCTGTGGGTGTTGGACAGCGGCTCGCTTTTTCACTCAGTATTTTTTAGTGACTTACTGAACCCCTGCGCTTTCAAAATATTACTGTGTGTGTGTGTGTGTGTGTGTGTGTGTGTGTGTGTGTGTGTGTGTGTGTGTGTGTGTGTGTGTGTGTGTGTGTGTGTGTGTGTGTGTGTGTGTGTGTGTGTCATAGTCTGAGCCTTATATGACCTCTCACTGAATGTGTGATTCATTGAGATACCGAGCAGTTGGGTTTGAAGAAGTGCTACCAAAGTGCTTTACATAGGAGAAAGAGACAGACAGAGAAGAAAGCAGAATATAAAAGAAGCATTTTCTTTTTTTAGGTAATTTAATTACTGTTACTTATACTTGCCTTAAATACTGTAAATAAATGTAACAGTTAAAAGCAATTTTACTGCTAAAAGAAGTATATGGGCCCTATCATACACCCGGCACAAGTTTTTAGTTTCAGCTCGGCGCAAGAGTCGTTTTGACGTTTTGCACCACGCTGTTTAAATAGCAAATGCATTTGTGCTCATATGTGCACCCATAGGCGTTCTTGTCTAAAAAGGAGGCATGTTGAGGTGCATTGCTGGCGCATTGCTGTTTTGAGGAACTATAATAGACTGTTCAATAGACCAGATCAAAGCTGGTTTAAAGTCCAGCGCAGAGCACGTCAGTTGTGCGCCTCGCTTACCCATTGCGTAATACATACAGGATGTACAGCAACACACAAATATCTTTACAAATGAAAAGGAAATAAAAGATTTTCTAGCCTACATTAATATAAAAACCACCGCCTCCATGCCTTCTTCATCTCGGGGGGGGCTTTTGTAGTTTATTCTCGACAACTTGCTTTTGTATAATGTTAATATTAGTTGTAGTATTATTTATTACATGCATATTTTTATTTGTTTTATTAAAACAAGTTTAGATTTGCCTACCTGTCAGGTTTTAGACAATATGGGGCGCAGCATGTGTATTTGGATATAACTTTTTTGACCACACTTCATTATTATTGTTCATTTATTTGTTTGCTGGAAATTACAGGCTAATGGATGTCTGTGTGTACAACATGTTAGAGGTCTGCATTCCCGCAGCTGTCCTACGGGAGCTGCGGGACTCGACCAGATTTCTGCAGCATGGGAATAAATATCCGAATAAAGCGCGGGAGCGGTCAGTAACGGGTTTAATTTGGGACGGGAGCGGGCCGTCTAGCAATATATCACTCCCGACTCCCAAGCGAACACGCATAAGTATGTGTGTAAATGAAATAGCGCAATGCTGTGTTTAGCTTGTTTGTTGCTGTGTGTGTATGTATGTGTGTGCGCACGCGTGAATGAGAGGTGTGTGTGTGCACGCGCAAACGAGAGAGAGAGCTTTGCCTGTGTGTGTGCTTGGTGCTTATGTGTGTGTCTGTTAGTGCGCGCGAATGAGAGAGAGAGAGAGAGCTTTGTCTGTGTGTGTGTGTGTGTGTGCTTGGTGCTTATGTGTGTGTGTGCTTATACAGACAGCTTGTTATAGGATGTCTGGACTCTGTATAGCTGGGTGGTTTTCAGTTTTGTTCTCCCCCGCTCTTTAGCGGGATCGGGCGCAGCGGGTAGAAAACGGGGCGGGTCGGGCAGCGGGACAACAAATGCTGAATGTAAGCGGGAGCGGTCGGGTTCGGGCTAAAACCTGGCGGGTGCGAGCGGGAGCGGGATTCAAAATTTAGTCCCACGCAGATCTCTACAACACGTTTCCTTATCTACGAGAGTGAAAGTGAAATTAAAGAATGAGGAGGCTCATCTCTCATTCTTGCGCTGCAGATGCTCTGATTAACTGTTTTCTCGCTAGTGAAGCGCTCAGTTTGTCCACTTATAAAGTCCGCCATGTAAATAGCAAATGTGCTGTGGCACGATGCAACTGACTCTTAAAGGGAATGGGAGGTGAGACTCTGATTGGTTTATTCTCGAAACACACGTATAACGCATTAAGAGAATAAGCTCAACCCTGTTAGACCATGCGCCACGGCTCAAAGCAGATTTTTCCGTCCTTAAAATAGCAAAAGTGGATTCAGAAACGCCCTTAATGCTTTTGCACCCTGCGCTTTGGACTTTGCACATGGATCGTCAAAATAGAGCCCTGTATCACTATATGATAAAGTCACTACATGATAAGTATGACATATTGTGCCATTGCTTTTAAATGTTTTGTTTTTGATATTTAAAATGTATATTCTTTGTGATTAAAGTGTTAAATTAAAGAGCCCTATCATACACCCATAGGCGCTTCAAGAGTTCACACTTAGCTAATAATTGATTATAACCAAGTTTGGCATGCTGTCCGGGAGAGAGCCCTTAGCTCAATAGGTCCTTGAGCCCTGGGCTCCCTCCCGTTTGCAGGGCGAGAAGGGAGCCTTGAGCTCAGGTAGATCTCGACAACTCCTCCCTTGATAAGAGGTGATGACTAAATGAATGCTATGAAGAGATATGCTGCAGGGTGAGAGATTGACTGTAGTGCTAAATTAAGATTGATCAATTCACTTATTGTGCATTTTTTTGGAATGTGGGAGGAAACCGGAGGTCCCGGGGAAAACCCACACGAGCACGGGAAGAACATGCAAACTATGCACAGAAACGACCACCGGCCTGTTAAAGGACTAGAACAGGTGACGTTCTTGCTGTGAGGCAACAGTGCTAACCACTGGGCCACCGTGCCGCCCTATGGAGGGAAAGGTGAAGAGGTAGGGGTGGAAGGGGGGATTTTTCAAATCGAAGATGACTGCAGTGAAAAACCCTGGCTCTTTATAGTGGGTTAGGCATGGCCTGATTGGTGGATCATACGTAGCTAATGCAGAACCAGCCGAAACACTAATCTAAAGAGTCAGTTAGTGACAGGTAGGTCCACTACACGCATGCACATTGCTTATTACACACAGGGATGCACAGCAGAACAGAAATAACTTTAAAGCAGGGGTCACCAACCCTGTTCCTGGAGTGCTACCTTCCTGCAGATTTTAGTTGCAACCCTGACCAAACACACCTGTTTGTAATTATCAAGTGCTGCTTTAGGTACTATTAATTAGTTCAGGTGTGTTTGATCAGGGTTGGGACTGAATTCTGCAGGAAGGTAGCTCTCCAGGAACAGGGTTGGTGACCCCTGCTTTAAACAGTGCTTACACAATGCTAAAGGGACGAAGCATTCTGGTGGCATTGACTGTTTAAATGAGAAGGAAATTTAGATTTGACACATAAGTTCAATTCAATTCAGCTTTATTTGTATAGCGCTTTTACAATGTAGATCGTGTCAAAGCAGCTTCACATAAATGGTCATAGTAACTGGAACAGTGTAGTTCAGTTTTTAGTGTTTAGGTTCAGTTCAGTTCAGTTTAGCTCAGTTCAGTGTGATTTAAAATCATTACTGAGAGTTCAAACACTGAAGAGCAAATTCATCGATGCGTAGCTCTACCAATCCTGAACCATGCGAGCCAGTGGCGACAGCGGAGAGGGAAAAAAAACTTCACCTGATAGGAGAGTGAAGAAAAAAAACCTTGAGAGAACCAGACTCAGTTGGGCACGACCATTTTAATTTCTCCGCTGGCCAAAAGTCTTGTGCAGAGCTTCAGTCGCCGCGGTGGAGGCTGGAAGCTGGCCTCAGCGAAGACTCGTGTCTGTTTTGGGAAAGGTATGAGCTTTTGCAAGTGAGCTATAGTGTTGTGCTAAACTGTAACAAACTGTTTTGCCAAATGATCTTAGAATTTTGAGAATGTAATTTCTGTTTCAAGAAACCAATTAAGAGTCAAACCAATGGAGAAAAACTGTAAAAAAAAAAAAAAATCAAGAGTCAAACCAATGGAGAAAAACTGTAAAAAAAAAATCAAGAGTCAAACCAATGGAGAAAAACTGTAAAAAAAAAAAATCAAGAGTCAAACCAATGGAGAAAAACTGTAAAAAAAAAAAAAAAAAAAAAATCAAGAGTCAAACCAATGGAGAAAAACTGTAAAAAAATTTAAAAAAAATCAAGAGTCAAACCAATGGAGAAAAACTGTAAAAAAAAAAAATCAAGAGTCAAACCAATGGAGAAAAACTGTAAAAAAAAAAAAATAATAATAAAAAAATCAAGAGTCAAACCAATGGAGAAAAACTGTAAAAAAAAAAAAAAATCAAGAGTCAAACCAATGGAGAAAAACTGTAAAAAAAAAAAAAAAATCAAGAGTCAAACCAATGGAGAAAAACTGTAAAAAAAAAATCAAGAGTCAAACCAATGGAGAAAAACTGTAAAAAAAAAAAAAAAAAATCAAGAGTCAAACCATTGGAAAAAAACTGTAAAAAAAAAAAAAAAAAAAAAAATCAAGAGTCAAACCAATGGAGAAAAACTGTAAAAAAAAAAAAAAAAAAAAAAAAAAACAAGAGTCAAACCAATGGAGAAAAACTGTACAAAAAAAAAATCAAGAGTCAAACCAATGGAGAAAAACTGTAAAAAAAAAAAAAATCAAGAGTCAAACCAATGGAGAAAAACTGTAAAAAAAAAAATCAAGAGTCAAACCAATGGAGAAAAACTGTAAAAAAAAAAAATCAAGAGTCAAACCAATGGAGAAAAACTGTAAAAAAAAAAAAAAAAAAAAAAAAAACAAGAGTCAAACCATTGGAAAAAAACTGTACAAAAAAAAAATCAAGAGTCAAACCATTGGAAAAAAACTGTAAAAAAAAAAAAAAATCAAGAGTCAACCCATGGGAAAAAAACTGTAAAAAAAAAAATCAAGAGTCAACCCATGGGAAAAAAACTGTAAAAAAAAAAAAATCAAGAGTCAAACCAATGGGAAAAAACCTGTAAAAAAAAAAAAAAAAAATTCAGGAGTCAACCCAATGGGAAAAAACTGTAAAAAAAAAAAAAAAAAACCCAAAAAGAGTCAAACCAATGGAAAAAACTTTAAAAAAAAAATCAAGAGTCAAACCAATGGGGAAAAACTGTAAAAAAAAAAAAATCAAGAGTCAAACCAATGGAGAAAAACTGTAAAAAAAAAAAAAAAACAAGAGTCAAACCAATGGAGAAAAACTGTAAAAAAAAATCAAGAGTCAAACCAATGGAGAAAAACTGTAAAAAAAAAAAAAAAAAAACAAGTAATTTTGAAAAATTGTGTTCTTTCTTTCAGATTTTGTATTTTAATAAAAAGACTGAAAATTATACATGGATTGACTTTTGCATAGTACTGTAGGTTTAGGCATAGTTTGTTTGGGTTTTTCTTTATCAGTCACAGTTACATTTTTCCAAAGTTTATTTATTACCAACATAAATTGATGAATTGGTGCTTCTCAGATTTAAAGTTGAACTGCAGCACTCAGCCTGTGGTTAGAAGTAATTGTGTTTTTTTTTTTTTGTTTTTTTTGTTAATACACCCCTCTTCACACTCCCGATGTGAAACAAACGTTTGATTGCATCTCGCAGAGCTGTATTCACAGACTATATTCACAGATAATTACCACCAAGCATTGTCAGTCTGGCGATCAGATCATCGCGATTAATGACACTTTCACTCCGTCTGACAGGAAAGTATGATGAAAATTGCCGAAGGGCACAAACTGTCTAATGAAGGACTGGAGGATGAAAAGCCCACACTGATAAAGCTCGATGTACGAGCATATTGTTGAGCAGCCAATCAGATAATATCTTCACAAATTCATTTTTTAATTACTTTTTCTTGTTTGTATTCAAATATAGCCTAGAGGTTGTTAAATTATGTGTATATTAATAGACAATAATGCCTGCACATTCAAGTAAATAGTAAACATTAAGTGCAGTCTTTTGTAATCATCTATTCATTGGTGCAGGTATGCAAAAATAAGAACCCTGTTCTGCAAAATCTACCGTTTTATATAAAAAAACAGGTCATCTTTGATAATCCTTTGTGGAAATAGCTCATAACAGGTTACTATATGTTAGAATGCCAATAGTATCAGGTTGCCGACATGCACTTGCACAGACATGCAGTCTCAGACACATGCATTCAATAGACATAGTGACGACACTGCGAGGAGTAGGGTTAGGAGTGGGATTAGTATGCATTTAAAGCATGCTGGTCTGCAGCCAGACCCTTCGCCTGAATCCAATCAATATCCATAACAACAGTGAAAATAAGAAGTCCTTGTCCACATGGACTCTTTTTGATCTACTCGGTTGTGATGTTTGTCCATACAAAAACGCAGTGTCAGGGGACAGAAATCGAAACTTTCTGAAAACACTGACCAGGATGAAAATTTTCCAAAACTCTGGGTCCAGTGAGGTCGTTCATTCATTTATTCATTCATTTTCTTTTCGGCTTAGTCCCTTTATTAATCCTGGGTCGCCACAGCGGAATGAACCACCAACTAATCCAGCACGTTTTTACAGCCACAACCCATCAACACTAGAATCTGAGTTTTTGCCTCATGATGTTAACATGTGCCATTTTTTTCTCCTTTCTGACTGGACAACATTGCTGGGTTCACACCAAACACGGAACACGCAAAAATAAGAAAAAAATTTGGCACATTCGCGGCAGATATATTGGATATTTTGCATCATGATCTCTACCCAGGGGAAAAAATATATAACTAATTGCAATTAAAATACACTTAAATGAATTTTGAGAGGAGCACGTGATATGATTGACTGCAGCTGGTCATTCATCAACACTATTTAGCTATTCAATCAGATTCATCCAAACTCACTATAAGTAACCTAGCTAAGATCTACTCCCTTATCTTCGTTTTCCCGAAGAAACCCCCCATCCACCCCTTCTCCTCCTTCCCTCTTTTGCCGAGGGGAGCTCTCGAGAACACCTGACCTCGTACTCCCCTCACATGCTGTATGGACCTGGCGGGAGCCCTGGGCTCAACTATCTCCGAGCTCAGGGTTCTCTCCCGGGACAGCATGCCAAACCTGCTAACTTGCTAACAAGTTTTCAAACAGTATCTAAGTGTGAACTCTTGAAATACCCGCAAATACATTTTTAGTATATTGTTATTTTTTTGTGTTAAATAAAAGTTTGATGGTTTTACACTATAAATATACTAAGTAAAAGTATGTTTATACTTCAGTAGGACTTTAGTACACTTGACAAAAGTGTACTAAATACCAGTAATACTTAAATAATTTTTTAGTGTACTACAATAAAGTACACTACAGAAAAAACATCCAAAAGACTTTTATTAGTGTGTTTTTCAAGAGTGTGCTTTAAATGCTTTAAACATAAGTTGATTTTAGTACACTGTTTACATACTAATCCTAAGTTTAAAATAAGTTAATATATAAAAAATCTATTAATAATGTATTGTAGTAGAAGTACATTTTCCCAAAAATTGTACTTAAGTACACTTAATGTGAATGCAATATTATCACTAACACTTAAATTGTATTTGAGTGTGATAATTTTAAGTGTACATTAAATCGACTTTATTAAAAATCTATTAGTAATGTATTGTAGTAGAAGTACATTTTCCCAAAATACTTTTAATACAGTATTTAGCACACTTTTTTTAACAATTTGTATATTATTTTTATATATTATTATTATGCTTTAAGCTATTCATAAATATATTTATAAATGTTAAAAATTAGGGTTCAAGTGTATTTCTAGTTGTAACTAAATATATTTTTTTAAAATACAGATATAGTATGTTAAAAGCACATTTTAGTTCAATTTCGGGGTGTCTCAAAATAGCACTGTTGAGTACACTTAGATGGTATTAAGTTTATCTTAACATATACTTAATACTATCTTTTAGTACATTAAGTAGAAAATTAGTGTCTGAAAATAGAGCACTTTTAGTACATTACTGAAAAGTGTACTAAGTATATTTAAATAAAGTGCATTTTAGTGCACTTTTTTTTTTACCTGGGTAGGGCCATCTGGGCTAATGATGGTCATGCTGTCCTTAGCGAATGTAAAAACCGAGGTGGGGGGGGTGCTGTTTTCACTGATGAAAGTGTAGAAATGGGGTGTGTGTGGGGTACGTGGTTGTCATGGACAAAAGTAAAGAGTGGGATGGATGGATGCAGATGTCGTGGGCGAAAGCGAAGAGTTAAGGCTGATTTATACTTCTGCGTCAAACGCCGGCGTATGGCGCCGCTGACGTGCACCTCTCAAAAAATGTAACTACGCGTCGCAACGACGCATAGTGCAAGCTCTGTGATTGGTCGGCTTGGTAGCGCTGACGAGTCTGGGTGGGACCGAGAGCCGCGTGAATGGTGCGAGCCTGATGGAGTGATTGTTTACAAGTGTGGAGTCCCGTGAAGGAGCTCCGGATGGAAAGTTTTGTTTTGTGTTTACCTCATAGTTAAAGTTGTTGCTCGTCCGCCGGTTCCTGCCTCAAAATGAGCGAGTTTGAGCCACTTGTACATTCAGGAAGTGTTCAGGAAAAGCAAAACAGCTGCGAAGAAACTCGACACAGAAGAACATAAACACCTCACTGCCAACTAGCGTTTCGGAAGTGTTAATGCAGACCAACAGAGACAGCGCGCAGAAGTATAAATGCACAGCTACGCGCGTTGCATGCGCCGTGGGTTACGCCGATCACTTGACGCAGAAGTATAAACCAGGCTTTAGGTGGAGGGGTAGTGCTAGAGACAGGGAGCCGGGGGTAGGGTTGTTGCGGACAGTAGCTTCAGTAGAGACTCTAGAATAGTCCCTCAGCTCCCTCAAAGCAATTTTCTGTTTAAACAATATCTAATAGATGTCTCAGCTAAAACAAAGCTGAATTTGGTCTGTCTTTGAAAAGTCGCTTTATTTCAAGTTTCAAGAACAGTCTGGTAGTTGTGTTTCTTGGTATGGTTTGGCACAATCACAAACAGTTCTTGGCACAGAATATTGAAAAGGGTTAGACAACCATGCTGGATTGGTAGGGCACATGTGCGTGTGACATCGCCACTCAGTTGGCTGGTTACCACATTATCCATGATTAAGTGCAAGTGTTATATTAATCAGTTTATTTTATGTCATTCAACAAAGTAATTCACCAAAACGGAAATACAGTATCTGATCCTCATCTATATTGCTGCCATACAAAGCAATGACTGGCGCATTTGTATTGCATTCCAGAAAACTCCGTTATGAGCTCCACCATGGAAAATGAAACTGCTTCTGTGCTGACTGGACCAGATCAGCACAGAATGAACCAATTAAGCAATGATTGTGGAAAAGCAGCTTAATAGACCGTCTATCAATAGTTCAATAATAGACGTTGATTAGACACATCTGTAATTATTCAAATATGTCTATGGATGCAGATGTAGTGGTCGAAACTAGGGGCTTGGGAGCGGGGTTGTCGTGGAAGAAACAAAAACAAAAGAGGGAAAGAGGAAAGTTCTGTTTATAAAAAAATGCTTGTGTACATGTGGACATTGTCTAAATTTGAGTAATATATTAGATGTAATGAAATTAAAGGTTTGAATTTGGCTCAATGAGGCATGCATATGTAACACAAACTACTGAAAAGAAATCCCAACCCTCCCAGATAACCATAATTGTAAAATCAAGTTCATCTATGATGGACTCAGATCAGTAAGAGTGAACTTGTGGTCAACTTGAATTTAAAAGGGTGTCCATATTAGATTAGAATTATTTTGGGAGTCTTTTCATGCGTTTGCATCAAAACCACCCACGCCTTGTGTTGATCTTTCCTTACTATGTCTTTTTATGGATATAATCTGCTTCATCTCCACCTGCGGCCCCCCTCATGTGTGTTTGCAGAGCCTCAAAAAGACCCCACTGATACACCACAGGTGCTGTAGCTTTCGACCTTTAACACAGCCTTCCAGTTGCAATAATAAAATTCCTCCATTTACTGGACATGACAACCGTGACGGAAGTCCTACGTGAATGAATTTATTCTCTCAGGCGCAGTGGCAGCTTTTTTTTTCAACTGAATCTAAATATAACCCGCCGTCTATTTTTCTGCTCTTTCTTCACAGTGCGGCAAGGCAGCGGAGAACTTTGACAAATTCTTCACACGCACGCAGCCCATGCTGACCCCACCTGACCAACTGGTCATCGCCAACATCGACCAGAGCGAGTTTGCTGGATTCTCCTTCATAAACCCCGAGTTCATCCACCCAGCGTCTATTCACAGTGTGGTATGAGACGTCCCAGGAGGAGGAGGGGGAAAGCTATCAACCGCATCCACTATATTTATGAACTCAGCAAATCTTTGTAGACAGTTGAACACCCTTTATCTGAGCATATCTGAACTGAGGGGGGGACTGGAGGAGGAGTTTGAATGGCTGAATGGATCTATATATAGATATATAATCATAAAAGCATGTTTCCACATGAAGACTTTGAGGGCAGTATTCAATGCAGATGAGTTAGCATTTGACCAAAGTCTGGTGGGTTTTTACACTCTTAAAAATCGAGGTTCTTTACTGGTTGCACGCAAGGTTATTTGTGTAAACTAAAACTGAATTTTAAAACTATTGGTCAAAACACATCTGGACAAACACATTTTCTTCATTTGCCAAAAAATGTAAACAGGACATGTTTACGTACATACATAATTTTAACAACCCATTCTGATTACATACCTATATATACATTTCTGGAGAACACCAAATACTTCCCAGGAGCTACTTTTTTGCAGTTTGTTTTGTTTTCGCGAATCCACCAGAGGCCGCTGTGTACACTTTGTCAGATGTCAAATTCCTCTGACGACTGCGATTCTGCGATTCGCGCCTGCTCTTCTCACGTAAATCCACCAGAGGCCACTGTCGACTGATTGACTCACTGACCGACCAACCGACAAACCCTCTTCCCTTAACCCAGCCATGTCCAAACTCTGTTCTGGAGGGCCGGTGTCCTGCAAAGTTTAGTTCCAACCCCAATCAGACACACCTGGGCTAGCTAATCAAGCTTTTACTAGGCTTTCTAGAAACATCTTTGCAGATGTGTTGAGGCAAGACAGAGCTAAAGTCTGCAGGACACCGGCCCTCCAGGGCAGAGTTAGGACACTCCTGCCTTAACCCAACTGATCCGCTTGTTATGTGTGACATCACGCGAAGCGCCTTCCGGGTCCAAGCGCTTTATTCAACTGAATGGGGAGACTCACGAAATGGTAATAATAAACGTTAACAAAGCGATTTAATGCTTTCGAAAATCACGATGGCAGTATATAAGTCTAAGCCTAATATCCGATGGCCAGAAAGTGATTAATTAATTACAATTTTTTACAAATTGTAAAATTTTTGGTATTTGTTATGCAGCAAGCCCAGAGATATGTGTACACTATGACTTTATGTAAAATTAACTTTAATGTGTGATAGGAATAAAACGTGATCATAAACGAATGATTTCTCAACTGAAATGAATGGCGGCGTGGACCCGGAAACAGTATTACATACGTCACAAACACGTCACCACTTAACAAGCGGATAATGTTCTAAAAAGCACCAATTGATCAACGCCCATCTTCCCTAAACCCAACCGATAGTGTTTTCAATAGCAGTCCAGAAAAAGAAAAGCCCTCGCGGAAGCCTGATTTTTACCACTTGTTCAGATTTTACTACATTCTCGCCCTGCTATTTGCTTGTTTTGTTTATTTTTTGGCTTTTGTTTTTGTCTTACGTGCTTTCTGAAACCTTTCTTCGCCATACTTGAACTCTGTCGTCACGGTCAACTCTGCTCTGCGTCTCAAATCCTCCGACGTACATGTCGAGACACTAGACAAAATGGTAACAGCAGGAAAGCCGTCCACATGAAGGTAAGCGGTTAGCTGGTAATCGTGAAAAGGATCCCCACAGTATTCGTTTAAAGACAAAATGCAGCCATGTGTTCCTCTGGCTACATAATTCGTGACCTCCTGAAATGTATATAGGGGTATGTTTTTAGAATAGGCCTATGTTGGATTTTAGTATGACAAAGTTTTGATTCTTTAAAATTGACTTTATTCCTGAAAGTTGGATTTATATGGCTTTGACTTTTGTCACATGCACATCTTATCTGTATTAGTCTGTATTAAATACCCCTCATTTTGAAGGGCCGTGAACACCGGGACGCCTTTTGCTCACGTTTTCCGTCCACGTTTAATACCTCGTGACTAAATAAAGGGCGCCAATGTGATCGTGCACACCAATGCGCAAAACAGCAGGTGCAAAATCATCATTATTAAAGAAACGCATCGTGCTCGTTTTTTTTGTTTTGTCGCATCAAAACCTTTTCCACCAATCAGATTGGCACTATTGATCACATGCATGGAACTTACATGAAGTTACAGTAAACAGCACTTGGAGGCGCTCAAGCGCAAAACTGTCAATGCGAGCGCACATTGAAGGTGCCCAGAGGACTGTGAACAAAGATAATTTCTTCATCGCTAGAGCTGGAGCTGCTCCTTGAACCATCCATGCTTGTTCGAATCGCCAGTAACTTTAACAAGCGTGTCAACTTTCTCTCTTCTTCTTCTGTGTTACAAACGAATGTCAGAAACTGAAATTTGTGTAGCGCCATCTAATGTCAAGGAGTGATTTTGCATTCTCCTCTGCTCGACGCCAGTGAAAATCTCTTAGGTTTGAATTCGGAAAAACGTCTGACGATAAACACAAACGAAAAGCGTCCCTAATGTGTACGAGCCCTAATGTTGAATTAGAGTGAGATACAATTAAAGTAGCAAAATATTTATGACGACAACCATTCTACAATAGACAAGTTAAACGTGATAGTAATTCCCAGTGAGGCAAACTCTTTTGTTTCTTAAATTTTGCCGTATTAATTGAAAATATAGTTTCGTTTATGTGACTCTTGCATTTCTTTACTGGATTTGACGAACAGAAAAGAAATCTCTTGCGTTTCCAAAATATTAGGCATACAATTAAGACTATTGTGTTTTTTAAACTGCCTGACCTCTATTTTACTCTATTATTTAACTATTTTACGTTTTGTCAGTTTAGTGGGCAATTTATATGAATTAATACTTAAGTTTAGACGTGCGATTATTATATTTTTTTTATAGGAGGTGTAGCACCAAACCCCACCTCTAAACTCAATCGTCATTGGAGATTAACAAATTATACTAAATTGTATGAATGAGATTAGCCATTGAATCAAAAACTTACAAATTGCCATAAGATAGCATTGGTTTTAAATATTTAATAAACTATTATAAAAGTTAAATATTAAAAAGTTTAAAAACTAAGCCAGATTCACTGCACAAACGAGTCATTATAGTGGTTTTAAAAGTTATTATTAATTAGGTTGTATTATAACTGGAAAGACGAATATAGTTTGATTTTGTTTAGTTTTTTTTACCACTGCTGCAAAACCTTTTGGAACCTTCATTTTTACGAGTGTTGACTCTGCAGATGATAATTTCATGATCTTCAGTCTCGTTTAGGATGCTGCTTTTTAATTTTACACACAATTTTACCCTGTAGATGATTATTTTATAAACCTCAACCTTATTTATGACGCTGCATTTGTAGGCAATAGACAGAAATACTGCCCTCTAGGATTTAAAACAAAGTCTGTCCTCGTGGTAATGATACTATATGTAATGCCAGTGTGCAGATTAATGTCCGGTGAGGCTCAGTATGTTTTACAGATGGTGCAGATATTTTTTTTTGATGGTAAAGATGGGTGAACGATCTCTTTTTCCAGTCCTCAGATTCTGTGTGTGTGAAGCATGCTGACATAAAACAGGTTTTTGTGTCCTATTCCTTATAACCTCTACTGCCATTTCTAATGTTCCTGAATTATATATTTGTAAATCTAAAATATATATATATATATATATATATCTTGTTATAGGAGTGCCAAAATATAGCTGCATCAAAAGGTTTTATATATGCATTTGATTTCCTACTAGGTCTATTATTAGTGTCCCTTATCTTGGGCTGAAACTTGAACCCTTTTTTGCTCCTGGAGTTTTAGCATGACATCTTCCAATCCCGTCACTGCCTGCTCGCCTGGTTCCCACATATTCAACATATACACCATTTTGATGTACGAATAGTGAGCAATTTATCCTTAGCAATCCCGCAAACCCACAAAACTCTGCAGATCTACTCCTCTCTGCATGTTCATTTTCATACAGTCATATTTCACCATCTTTAAAATACTAACCTCTTTAATGTTCCCTCATAATCAGCGCCAGCCTGATCTCACGAGAAAACGTAAATATTTTTCGTTTTGCCAGTTTTGTGGCTAATTCGTACGAATTCGTACGAGTTTAGTCGTACTAAATTGTACGATTTTGAAAAGGAGGCATGGCACCTAACCCCACCCCTAAACCCAAATGTCATTGGGGGATGAGCAAGTCGTACTAAATTGTACGAATTAGATTGTACGAATTCATACAAATTAGCCACTAAATCAAAAAGTTACGAATTTCCGTGAGATTGTGTCGCAAAAACAGATGCAGAGTCCGATAATGTGTAGATAAAGTTAGAAATGGTCTTTGGTTTGAATCCTGCTTACAGTCAAAAATGTATATTTGTTGTTTGTCCAAACTACTTATTTAAAATGAGCTAAAACAACACAATTCTTGAGATTTTTTAAAATGTTTTAGTAACTAGTTTACTTAATTCCTCCATGTTGTCCTACTCCAAATCAATTGTGTGGAACCCAACATTTTTTTCACAATGTATAACAATAGAAAACTTCCACGGCTAAGCTAAGTCAAGCAAATTAGTAATGCGTCAAGCTGCTGATGCTGTTTGTGGCGTTGTTTAATGATCCTTTGCTGAGATTTTGAAAGATTTTTGAGAGATTTATTTAATCTTTAAGGCTTTACTTTCTGACAAGTGTATTAGGATAAAAAAAAATGCCACGCCTGTTATAAAAAGGGGTAAAGTCTCATAAAAAGTCTCATAAAACCTGAATAAATAAAAAATATATATCAACATATTCAGATTTAGCTTCTGGACAACACCTGAGAATCAGTATTACAAAAGCTTTACTAAAGGTCAAAATCAGAAAGTGTTTGGATATAAATTAAACATTATAAAGGGTCAAGAGCCCAACTAAAGCAAACACTGACCATCAAAACAGTAAGTTTAAACATAAACATAAATAAAACCTCATTTTCTAAGCCTTGTTCATTTTGAGAACTATTGTATGACATAAATTGTGGATTTTTTAATGATCCTCTGCTGAGATTTTGAGAGATTTTGGAGAGATTTATTTAATATTTAAGGCTTTACTTTCTGACATAAGTGTATTATGATAAAGAAAACTTCCACGCCTGTTATAAAAAGGGGTAAAGTCTCATAAAAAGTCTCATAAAACATGAATAAATAAAAAATATATATTAACATATTCAGATTTAGCTTCTAGATAATACCTGAGAATCAGTATTACAAAAGCTTTACTAAAGGTCAAAATCAAAAAGTTAAAGTGTTTGCATAAAAAATTAAACATTATAAAGAGTTATAAAGCAAACACGGACCACCAAATTGATAAGTTTAAAAATTAACATAAATGAAACATCATTTTCTAAGCCTTGTTTATTTTAAGAACTATTGTATGACAGAAATTAAGCCAAGCAGATTATCAATATGTCAGTTTGCTGAAGCTGTTTGTGGATTTTTTAATGATCCTCTGCTGAGATTTTGAGAGATTTTTGAGAGATTTTTTTTTTTTTTTATCTTTAAGGCTTTACTTTCTGACATAAGTGTCATGATAAAGAAAACTTGCACAGCTATAATAAAGAGGGGTAAAGTCTCATAAAACCTGAATAAAAAAAAACATATATCACACACATTCAGATTTAACCTTTATATAATACCTAAGAATTGAATCATTATATTATGAAAACCAGGTAATTAATAAAAATTAGTTGATATGCCTTAATAGTGTTTTCCTGGTTTTCTGAACCATCACACATCTGCTTTTTAAACACAGTCTTTTCAAATTTATTTGTATTA